ATATATATATATGTATATATATATATAGATAGATATATATATATATATATATATATATATTTGTAATTATATATTTTTTATTTTTATTACGTTATGTTAACATATAAAATAATTTTGTTTCTCAAGTTCAAGATTTTAGTTAATATTTTAAAATCATTCTTCCAAAAGGCTCACCCCGACCCGACAGAGCATTTGGGAGGATGTAAATCATGGTGACTCAACTGAACATGGACCACAGAGGCTAGACCGGTGCTCACTGCGCACAAGGAGCCTGTAACACCCCAGATTTTCAAGATATCTAAAACTCACAAAATAAAGGTGAAATCTCATTAAATCCCAAAACATAATACAAGAGTGCGGGGTGCTATGCCACACCTGAGCTAGAGAACTCAGGTGCACAGGCTAACTAACTAATATCCTCAATAATGTAAATGCATAAACATGGCACGTAGGCCGAAAGGGAAACTATCTACTTCTACGTCCCAAGTTCTAGCGCGCTCCAGTGACTTATTCTTCTGTGCCTGAAAGCCAAATATATCTGTTCAGCGAGAGATGCTGGTAACCCACTCCAACGCGTTGAAATACAATACATATATACATATATACATAGGTATACGAAAAGTCATTTCGAAGCATGAAGATATATCCTACGAGACTCTAGTTTTCAAATCAGGGAACCGACTCGACAGATAGGGGTACACACAATCGGTAGTCGTAATCAAGCATAAACAATTCTCACATAGGGAACAGTTATAGATAAGCACAACCTATGATCACAATTAAGCATTACTAGTAAGAGTCCTCTGGTCACGTTTCCATAACAGTCACATCATCAATTCTTCTCATCTCATCACATAGCACACTTTGTTGGCGCCACAGGACCAATCGCATGCCCATACATGAGGGTCAGCGCATATAGCTCTGACACGGCCCCGCAGCACCCTGCCCCGTCTCACATTACGGAGGAGCCGATCGCAACCGACTAATGAACCGCAGTTCTATATAATATTTATATACCTGACCGGTCTTTACCAGCCTGGTTAACAGTTGGGATGGTTCTCAGCCCATTCAACTGCCCGTATAGTGGACCTTTGTCCTATATAATATTTATATACCTGACCGGTCTTTACCAGCCTAGTTAACAGCCAGTATGGTTCTCAGCCCATCCGACTGCCCGTATAGTGGAACTTAGTCCTATATAATATTTATATACCTGACCGGTCTTTACCAGCCTGGTTAACAGCCGGTATGGTTCTCAGCCCATCCGTCTGCCCGTATAGCCGATTGATCTCAACCAATCGGGGTAACATGCACACATAACACATAGCAAGCACATGCAACCCATATTAACACATTGGGAAGGGGGAAAACGTATAACGAAACCTATGCGTGGTCATCCACAACTAGGAATACTCCTAAGGGGTTTATACTTCTTATACCTAGGTCAACGGGATACCAATTCAACTAGCATGCAATATATAAGACTCATACAACGTACGAACGGTACCCGAAATATCAATCTAGACATAGGCACGATAGGAGGGGTCCGTTGGGACGCCACAGGGGTCGGGGGAACATCAAACGGGGAAGCCGGAATCCCGGGTTGGGATACTTTCCAGCGGGTAGCCGGTGGGTGAGGGTTCACCCGCCGGCTGCCCGCCGGCGTTACTGTTCTGGGCAGCGGGTGCCCGGCGGGCAGCTGCCCGCCCGCCGGCTGCCCGCTGCCGGAGCTGCCCTTTTTTGGCCGCGGGTAGGTGGCGAGTCCCCTACCCCCACCTACCCCCCACTGACTCTTTCATCAATAACGCCCCAGAAACCTTTGTGGAACCCGAAGCCATGCTTAGACACTTTCAACGCAATAGACAACAACACGTAGACAATTAACGGATCGAAATCAAGAAACATATGACACATAACCTATCATGCTTTCCTAACATAATCAAACCCCAAAACATGCGAATTCCCACCCACCATATCAAGAACAATACCATACGAATTCCACAATACAACCTAGGGTTCTAATCACTTTTAAATCAACAAGAACGCGATTCATCTTTTAATATCGAGATTCGGTGGGAAAGGCACATAAGCATCAAGAACATCATATAATCATCAAGAACATCAAGAACACCATTTAATCATCAAGAACCTATCAAGATCACCCATGGAATTATAACACCAATTATCAAGATCATTATAACGAATCACCAATTGCACAAGAATATGGGGGAAATCCTAAGAGGGGAAACATAGCTATGAAAATAGGTTTTGTTGAGACATGGGTTACCTCTTAGCCTTAATTAATTCCTCGGCTATGAAGGGTCTTGCTTTCTTGATTTCTTCTAGGGGGATTCTTGGAGCTCTCCCTTCTTCTAGGGGGATTCTGGGTCTTGCTTTCTTCTTCTAGGGGGATTCTGGGTCTTGCTTTCTTGATTTCTTCTAGGGGGATTCTTGGAGCTCTCCCTTCTTCTAGGGGGATGATTTCTTCTAGGGGGATTCTTGGAGCTCTCCCTTCTTCTAGGGGGATTCTTGGAGCTCTCCCTATTTATATATTTAGGAGTCCTAGTTCCTTTATATATTAGGGGGATTCTTGGAGAAGAAGGAGTCCTAGTTCCTTTATATATTTAGGAGTCCTAGTTAGGAACTAATATTATGGGCTTGCTAATTCTATTTCTTTTGGGACTAAGGATTGGGTTTAGGGATAAGGGCCCGTGGACTATGGTGGGCCTTCCTAATTAATTATTGTGATTTAATTCTTTCTTTTGGATAATTGATTAAATGATTTAATTGATCTTAGGGGTCGTAACACGGGGTGTTACAGAGCCCCCCTCTCTTTGAGAAGTTGCTCCCACACTGCCGCTGGTGAGACTCGATCCCTGGTCATTCTTCCAAAGTTTCACCTCTGTGACTAGTTGAGCTGCCTTTAAAATCATGTAATTATATATGATACCGTTATCTTATTTATTATTTTAATTTTTAAATTTATTAAAATATATGAAAATATGTTAATAATATTATAGTGTGGGTATAAAAGATAACCCTAAACCAAACATGATTATATTACATACCCCAATTTTAACATAACATAGGAATCTTATACCCCAATTTTAACCTAACACAAAAATCTTATATTCCTACTAATTTAACATTCCCAGCAATATAATATTTTTAGCAATCTAACATTCCCTAAGTAATCTAACATTCCGTGAACCAAACTGTCGATGGGTATAATTGTTATAAGTCCAAATATTTGGTATTAAATTAAAAAAAAAAAAGAATTACAAAAAAATTGCTTTATTATTTATTTTTTGACCAAGAGTACAGTCAAATCTAAATACCAATATACATTGTACCAACGTAGTCAAAACATTTATTGGTAGGCAGGGGCCGAGCTAACCCTCCCACCCCACCCCATTTTTAGTAAATATAAATGTATATATTATTATAATATGAATAAATTACACTTTTGATCTCTTTCTTTTTAAAAAGAAAAAATAAAAAAATTTATTATATATATATTAAATGAACTTGAAAGTCACACTTTTCATCCCTAAATTATTGGATAATTGTAAAATTCGTCCTTAATTGTTGTGCTCACTATTCGGCCCTAAGCTATAATTGACGTCACAAATTTCATCATTTTAATAACAGGTTGTGGTCACTCTTCGTCTCTAAGTTATAATAACGTTGCAAATTTCGTTCCTAATATTTTGTTAGTAAAGGGACGAAATTTGTAACATCAATTACGGAATATATTTTAGGGACGAAAAGTGAGCGCGACTAATAATTAGAGATGAATTCTGCAATGACCCAACTTAGGGATGAAAAGTACAATTTTTTTTTTTTTTACTATTGTATATATTTTGTGTTATGTGAAAAATTTAAAAGTAATATTTGACAATCTTAACGATCATACTCATATAATTATATATTTCCTATATTATTGCACATAGTATAATTAAAAATAATTATCAATAATAATTGGCACAATCATATATGGTATATATATAACTAATAATTGTCCCGTGTGATGCACGAACTATTATTAGTTTAACAAATTTACCAATTAAATTTTTGACATCCTCTAAATTAGTAAAGAAAGTAATGGTTGTGTAAACAGAAAAACGTACTTGAGTTCTTGTGTTCAAAATTAATTTGATTAAAAATGTAAGTATAACTATACAATGTAATATTTAATATTTTTAAAAGTTTAATTATGCTATTATTATGTTGATTTTAAAGTTTATTGTTACTTGTATTATTATTTGAATTTGATTTTTTTAAAGGAATTTGAATTAGAAATAACTACTTTAATTATATAACTAAAGTATATTAAATAAAACTTGTAAAAAAAATAACATGCGATATTTATCGAAAATCTCCACAAAAACTTATTCATTTGAAAAAGATTATTTATGTAAAAACTATATTATATATATATATATATATATATATATATATATATATATATATATATATATATATATATATATATATGTATATATATATATAATTTCTCCTCTTTATATATGTGGAGTCAAATTAATTATAATAGAGGCTTAAATGGATATACACACAAATTATATTAAATATAAAACTTTACCAATAAATTTGAACACAATAATCTTTTTTCCATACTTTAATATATATAGAGATATAACTATAACAATAAAATATAATTTATAAAATATAAATACACATAATAACTTCAAAAAAATATGTATAAATACATCTATCCACACAATTAATGCATTCATAATTGCTAATCTTGTTTCTATCAAAATGCATTCACACTTTGGAAGGAAAATTTTGTTGCTAGATTTTGATTTTGACAAATATAAAGATAAAGATGATATTGTATGATTGTTATTAATGTCGACTGAGATGATAAATTTCCTCTATAAATTCGGCCCTCAATTCAGACTTTCTGGCTCCGCCCTGTTGGTAGGCGGTATGTTGTCCTATATATACGTGATGAGAAGTGCATTGGAAACATGCAGAATAGAAAGAGGGAATATATATTTAACACAGAAGCTAAGATGTCAACAGAAAAGATAATGGCAATGGTATTTGTGGTTGCAGCTCTATGCATGCTCAATACCATAGCCGCCTATGTAGAGGATGAATACCCGGCGTATTTTAGTTATTCGGGCTCAACGGGCCCTGAGTTCTGGGGAAGTTTAAGCCCGAACTACACAAAGTGCTCTAACGGAAGAGCCCAATCCCCAATCAACATTGTTAACAGAGACGCAGTGCTTAACCGCAGTTTGAGTGCTTTGAATATACAGTTTCGTGATTCCGTTAATGCTACTTTGATTAACTATGGCTTCAAAGTTGAGGTTAAATCCATTCCTTTTTCTATTTTGCTTTTTGAACTGATTGTTTTTTGGGTGACAAGGGAACTGACATTTAGGTGTGTGCTGGGTACGTAAATCCTGTCTTGTGATTTTAATTTAGCCCCAATAAGGTAAATCAGTTTAGGTTGTATATATCTGACCGGCTCAAACTAAAAAAGTCTAAAATCGAACTTGTGACTATAAATCCACTCTTTTCTTTTTCTTTTTTTTGAATTGATTGTCTTTGTTAGGAATAAGTGTTTATCACTATGCCAAAAGTTATAATTAACCAGTAGCTAAAACTCAACTTTATTCACTCACAACATAACGGTTGCTTCCTGACAAATTATTCTGTGAACCCGGGTCTACCTTGCAAGGTGGACTCATGTCAAAAAGTACACAATTTATATACTGAATGTTCACAGTTACTTTTCACCAGCCTTAGCCCAATAATCTTCCTAGTCACCAATTCATGGATTTGGCCCTTTACCCAACAATTCCTTCTTCCAACACCTGATAGTCTTAACTATAGAGTTTTTACTCTTGTTGGGACTCAAACTCCGATAACACTTGTTAGGAAACACACGATTACCACTACACCAAAAGTTATAGCTAATAGTGAAAGCCTAACTTTAATTCCGTATAGACCGTCATCATATTTTTGAAAGGGAAGATATTGTACTTCACCTTTCACTGACTTCTACAGTTCTACCCCACAATCCTCTAACCACCAATTGATGGACTTGCTTTTTTTATCGGCTTCCACCTAACTGTTTTTATTTCTATAATAAGCTGATAAAAGTGAGTGTTGCAGATACTATTTCGTGGGGATGCAGGAGCCTTGGTCTTTGGTGGTAAAACTTATGCCTTAAGTGAAATCCATTGGCATACTCCTTCCGACCACCGAGTTGACGGGATTCAGTAAGTTCTCTAGCTTCCATATAAAATAATAAATGTGTACTGTACTCTCACTCACTCGGTGATGAAATAAGATATAATATATAATATATAATTGTGTGATTGCAGGTTTACTGCTGAGCTTCACATGGTCCACAGCGCTGCTGATAGTAGCAGGGCTGTGGTATCAGTTCTATTGCAAACTGGCCAATCTGATCCCATTGTTACTAAGGTTGGTTTAAATTTTTTAAGAGTATGAATAAATTAAAACTCAATATTTAAGTAGGTGATATGTGACAGATTATGATTACAATTTTAGTCTATATTAATTATTTTTAATGAGATTTGTGTATTAATTATTTAATTATATTGATGTAATTGGAGCTGCAGATACAACAACAACTAAGTCAGTTACCAATGAGGCCACCGAATCAAACCCCACCAAAAATTCCATTGGAAAATATAAATATTCAAGAACTAAGAAATCTAACTACCACCAAGAGATATTACACTTATCCAGGCTCTTTAACCAATCCCCCATGCACGGAAGGTGTTACATGGATAATCATAGGAAAGGTACGAGCTGAGACTAATCATTATTTTTGTTTTATATTTAATTTTTACGTTTTCTTAATTAATTAAATTGATGGGATTTTTATTTTTTTTTCTTTTGTAATGAAAAAAATGGAGTGAGTTCAGATTGGGACAATTTCAAGGGCTCAAGTTGCAGCTCTGAAACGTCCATTGGACAATGGAAGCAAGAACAATGCAAGGCCAGTGCAGCCCCTGAATGGAAGAAAAGTGGAGGTCTACCAAGATATGTTTCCTTAAACCTGGTTCAATTCGAGTATAAATAAATGGAATTGTAAACCCGGTTCGGAGATCAATGTATGGATGGTTGATTCAATAGTATGGACAGCCTTCATTATGAATAAAAATGACTATCAAATTGAATAAAATGACAACTTTCTTATTAAGACCAACTATGCATGCTATGCTAGTGATTGTTGATTTTACCTTGAATAATTATATATTTATATAAATTATTACAAATATTATCTTGGGTTAATCAACGATTTGGTCCCTCAATTATTAGTGAGCTGTTAATGTAGTCCCTCAATTGCTTATTCATCGATTTGATCCCCGAAAACAATTAGTTTTAGTCGAATTAGTCCCTCCAGACGTCGATTTGGTACCCGAAAACAATTACTTTTACTCGATTTAGTCCCTCCAGCCGTCGACGGAAGACGGCCTGAGGGACTAAATTGACTAAAAATAATTGTTTTCGGGGACCAAATCGATGAATAAGCAATCGAGGGACTACATTGACAGTTCGCTAATAATTGAGGGACCAAATCGTTCATTAACTCTATTATCTATTTATATAATTTATAAAGAGTTAATACCCAAAATGCTCGACCATAATAGTTTTTCTCAATTCCGTCCTAAACAACTTAGGTGACCTAATTTAGTCCCAGAGTTTTGTGTTTTTACTCAATTTAGTCATCCATTTGTTATTCCGTCCATTTGGTGTTAAATAGAGGGACAATTCAGTAATTTTAATATTGGCATCTCTTTACTCCTAGACCTGTGAAGTGCAAAATCCCTCTTTCTTTTATGAATTACTACCAGGATTACTCATAAACTAACCTGCGAATATAAAATTTGATTCGCAGGGTTGGGAGTAATTCGTAAAAGAAAGTGGAATTTCGCACTTCACATGGCTAAGAGTAAAGAGAGACCAATGTTGAGATGACTGAATTGTTCCTTTATTTAACACAAATTTGACTGAATAACAAACGGATGACTAAATTGAAAAAAAAAAAAAAAAACACAAAAGCCTGAGATTATATTAGGTCACCAAAGTAGTTTAGGATGAAATTGAGAAAAACTACTATAGTCGAGGACCATTTTAAATATTAGAATGATAAAATAATCCAGTTGAGGTCGGTCATTACGTGAAGGTAAAAAAAGATGGAGATGTCATTCGTAGATGTTAGAATAACTTAGCTTGCACTCACAAAGTCATACTCGATCGACTATATAGTTTGGAAGATTTGGATGCTATGATTTTGTTCGAGCATTTGTGTATCAAGTTCGGGATGCTAGCGTGGTCGTGCTACCTACATGCCTGCTAGAAGATAAGTGGCAAGCTATATGAGGGTACACTCCGTATCTGATGCCTACTGAGGTGATTATGATGGAGGAATTAGTTGCTTGACCAAAGTGGATTGTGGAAATAGAAAAGGTGGTCATTGATTTTGATTGAATGACTGCAAAATTAAAATCGAAACATAACTCTCCTTAGAGGTCCAGGCAGCCATGGTGGAAGTCCTTGTCAAATATATACAAGGTGATCTTCACTTAGGGACCAGAGGATATGGCAGGGGCGACTAGTCAGTCATCACACATCGGTTGCCCATTGTAATATAAAGTGTGTATTTATGTTATTTGTGTGTCTATTCACTGTACAGAGGAAGCTATATATAAAAGCTAATGAAAGACCTACACCACTTATTTCAAAATTCAAACTCAAAGGGTTGAGAGTAATCCCCTCAACCAACCCTGACTTTTAACACTCCCCTCAAGCTGGAGCATAAATATCAAACATGCTCAGCTTGTTACATATATATGACATCCGACTCCCAGTCAGTCTTTTCGTGATATGTCCGCCAGTTGATCACCACTACGAACATGCTCAACAGAAGTCCTCGTTGTACTTTCTCTCGTATAAAGTGACAATCTACCTCAATGTGTTTCGTCCGTTCATGGAAAACTGGATTGTTCGCAATGTGTATGGGCGCATGATTGTCACACCACAACTTAATTTACAAGAAGCTTCACTTCTACACCCATCTCTTTCAGAACGTTATGCACCCAAACTATCTCACTGGTCACATGAGTCATAGCTCTATACTCGGACTCTGCACTTGACCGCGCCACAACGCTTTGCTTCTTACTCTTCCACGAAATCAAATTACCTCCCAAAAACACATAATACCCTGTCATTGACTTTCTATCGCTAGGCGAGCCAGCCCAATCTGCATCGGAGAATGCCTCAACACCTGTATGTCCATAATCAGCATAAAGGACCCCCTTCCCAGGTGCACTCTTCATATATTTCACAATATGAATAGTTGTTTCCCAATGAGTTCGTATGGGTGAACTCATGAACTGACTCACTACACTCACCGGAAACTCAATATCTGGACGAGTAATTGTAAGGTAGTTTAGCTTCCCCACCAGTCTCCTATACCTTTCTGGATCCTCAAATGCCTCCCCCTCATTTGGTACAAGCTTGACTCCTTGTTCCATCGGCGTATCGCACGGCTTTGACCTAAGCAATCCAGTGTCCTCAAGAAGGTCTGTCACATATTTCTTTTAATTTGTGAAAGAAATATGCCCTTCTTTGAGCGAGCAGCCTCAATACCCATAAAGTATTTTAGTATTCCCAAATCTTTAGTATGAGACTCAGTTCCAAGGAAGGATTTAAGAACACCAATTCCGTCTACATCACTACCTGTGATTACAATGTCATCCACGTACACTATCAATAAAACACACCCATGGTTAGTATGTTTATAAAAGATAGTATGATCACAAGCACTCCTCTGCATTCCAAACTTCATAACTGCACTGCTAAACCTCCCGAACCACGCACGTGGGGACAGTCTCAGATCGTACAAGGACTTCTTTAACTTGCACACTTTCCCAGACTCCCCTGAGCTACAAACCCGGGTGGTTGTTCCATATAAAATTCTTCAAGTAAATCACCATGCAAAAATGCATTTTTGACATCTAATTGATATAAAGGCCAGTGATTAGTCGCAGCCAAAGATATAAAAATGCGTACCGAAGCCAATTTAGCCACCGGGGAGAAAGTCTCGGTATAATCTATACCATACGTCTGTGCATACCCCTTAGCCACCAAGCGTGCTTTGAGTCTGGCAACAGAGCCATCAGGGTTCATCTTCACCACATAAACCCATTTACGTACACCCGATAGCTACCTTACCGAATGGAAGATCCACCAAATCCCAGGTTTGGTTCTCTTCAAGAGCAGCCATCTCTTCTCCCATAGCCTGCCTCTAACCATCATGACACAGAGCTTGTTTCAAAGACGTTGGCACTATAACTGACTCTAACTGAGATATAAAGACACGTGAAGAGGAGGATAAATGGACATATGACACAACTGAAGAAATGGGATGTGTTCAACGACGCGTACCTTTACGAACAGCAATCGGAAGATCGGAATCTGTTGACGACGACTCTGGCGAGGAAAGATTGGTTGACGGTGTAACACCCCCGATTTTCATGCCATTTTAAACTTAATTATGCAAGATAACTAACCACAAAAACATAAAGCATAGCACAGCGGAAGTCTAATATATAAAGCTTGAAAACAGGGAGTGCTATGCCACGTTCACATCAAAGTGAACACATAGGCAAAAACCGACAACAACAATCTAATGTATTCAACAGAAGAGGCACACAGGCCCAAAACACAATCTAAACTGTCCGGGGAGTCTAATCTAGCCATGTCTAACGCGCTCGCCGACTACTCAGGACCTGAAAAGCTCATAAAGAAATGAGACGACACCTGGTCAGCGAATAATGCAGGTAACCCATCAATACGCATCAATAACACATATATAGATAGTATTATACAAAATCATTTTCGAAACAAAATACAGTATATATATCAGTTCAAAGCCAGACCTAGAAGTCAACCGCAAAGACTCTATATCACTCACAACAAGGACAAGGGGAAACACATCCCAAACATATTAAGACATGACAACCACATCACAAGTACAACTCAAGGTGTATTATACCATCACCCAGTGGAATACCACCCGACATGCTCAACAGGTGAGAATAGAGAAACACACATCGGCAACACATGCCTTTGTGACATCACTCATCACGAATATCATAATCCATCCTTATGCCCGGTTCCAACCTTATGGCTACCCCCAACCTTATAGCTAGTTCCAACCACTACCTCCAGGACCCCTGTACATCCAAGTCCAACCTTATGCCTCCGGGAACTGTCGTTCCTCCACCAACAACCACCAACAATTTCCACCAATTCATAGTACACAAGGGTACCGTTCACAACACATGACCGAAGCCACCCAAAACACGTGAACTCGACACACAGGTCAAAACTCCATAATCACGTCATGGCCACCACGAGGACCACTGCCGTACCTTGGTGACTAATGTCACATTCCATTAATCGTGCAATCCAGCTACAGCCAATACACACATCATCATCATAGGAATCAATCAATGGATCACAACAAAGATATGAAACTATACTCAACAAGGGAAGGATCACAATCCGACAACAACGATGATCAACACAAGTCATCATCCACGATAGGAAAGAACAAACCACACACGCTAGCATTTCAACACCGAACTAGCATGGTTATCAAACGGGTAAACAAAACATAGTTCCGAAGAACATACAAGACTCATCATGGTTCAACGAATCACAAGGTTGAACACTTAGCACGATTCAAGACACCAAAAACCTACATGGATTCCTACCACATAGTTCTAGACATACGAAACATCAAGAAGACACTCAAAAGCCCAACAAAAGAACATCGGGAAGTCAAAACATCAATTACCGAGTCAAAAGAATCACGGGGAACAAATCCCCAACAACCATCATATATGTACCCCGCGGGTGGGGCCACGGGTGGGCCCCCACCCATGGTTCTGCCCGCGAGAACCAAATCCCACACCACTTGTACCCCGCGGGTGGGGCGGCGGGTGGACCCCTACCCGCCGTTCCGCCCATGGGTACATGCCCTGTACCAAAATAATCCCTTTGGGGATTTTCAACACCAAGTCAAAATTCAAGTCCAAAACACCCAAAATCTCACAAAATACAACAATATGACTTGAATCAAAGGAATAACCAAGCAATGGCATACAAGAA